ACTTTTCCCTCGACCACAAGATCCAAAATAGCTGTTAGAGTTGCATTCCTTTACACTCACTCAGGTGACGATGCGTGAACATGGGAAAAATAGGCCCGTTATGCGTAGCAACTTACTGGGTTGGTAACACGTAACCAGATGTTGGCTTCACGAGCCCTTAAATGAAATCTACCCGTTGATATTTCATTTACGACAGCTTAGCAGCAACCATATCGGCTTCCACCTCAGATTCTAGCAAAATTTGCAGGAACTTTTCAAACTGAAACGCTAATCTACCATTCCAGTAACCTTTAAAACTAATAGTTGAAATGAAAAAGTCTCTGAGGTTTCCTTTTTTGTGTCGGAGTAGCTCTCCCTCCCCTCCTGTCCCCTCCCCTTTCCGCCGCCTCCACCATTGGCTAATTACTGCAAATGCGCGCTTTATAATAGAATAGAAAACAAGAGTGACGTATCAAGTTTCCTTTCATAAAACATACTCGTACTAAACACGTCATTTGTTCAGTTTGTAAGGTTGCTTCCGGAATGTGCGCTTTTTAGAAGCCAGACATTTCATTTCATTTCATACGTGCCCCTACTGCAGGAATGTAAGGGTTTACTGTGCCTCAAGTGGCTAAATTAAACTTGACATTAAGAAGACAATGGCGTGTGGAAATCATAAATACGAGTACAAATAAAAAGCGTCAAATTAGAAAAAGCAACAACATCTTTCAAGTGTAAAAACGCCACGGAGGTCAAGATCAAGTGGTTGAATTAGCATCATAATAAACTACAAAAGTTGCAGATGTCGTTAGGGCTTTCCAAAAAAATCGCTAAGTCAGCAAAATATTGCTTAATTTTTTACTGTGTAAAGAAAAGTCACTCCGTTTGCATATACAGCAATCTTGTATAAGTAGCAACGTGTAACAGAAAATGTAAACTCTGATAAACCTGTATATGTGTTAATTCATAGGGACAAATGTGTCAACAATCCCTCGTGGTTCGTCAGTAAAAGGCCAAAAATGAGAGCATTTTTCCTCTCTTTTTTTACACTAAAATATAGAGAAAACATGCCATCTTTTAGTTTTAGTGTGAACTACGTTGAAGAAAGTATATATTGCCAACGAAATAGGATCCAACCTGTTCTCATGAGCGTGATCACCATATTATCTCGAACTTTTTTTGTAACAGTACGTTCAGGAGACCATCACTAAACACCTAATGCATACCTCTAATGATTTCTTTGAGAGGAGCACGGCAGCTTTCCTTAAAAGTTGCCCAGTAAATTGCTTACTCGTAAACTGGATCCAGAAAACACCCTTGCTCTCTACTCAATTAAAGAGCAGATCTCAAGCAATCCGCAATCATGGTGTTACATCCAATTGATTGTCACAAGGTGAACAGGCCTTTACACTTAGGTCAATGACGAAGATGTATTGCTTTGGATTCTGAGAGCATCGGGAGCTATCAGTTTTACAGAAAAAAGTTAGTCTGGACAGAAATGAGATTACTGGATTATTTTCCGACTCCTGTTTCGTGATAGTTATCGCACCTATGGCCGATTTACTGAAAGGGGCCGAGATCATAATCGTCTCTGATTTCCGTAAGAAATAGGTTCCATTTGCAGTCTTAACAGACGAAGGAGGCAAGAAGCCAACAGAACCATTCAGAATCCGACTAATTCCCTCTCTGACGACTCTGAAGCCCATTCAGGAAAGTCCTCCAGGCTATCATCGTCAGACTAGAACACAGATAGTAGTTGATCCTGAGGCTGGCGAGGTACTGTACAATGGTAGGTCTACGCAAGATTACACCACCATTGCCATGCACACGAAGAGAGGCTGACCTGGTTGGAAGACTTCTCGGCGTGACGCCCTTGATAGGAGATCGCGCAAAAAAGCAGGCTGTACGCCAAACAATAGGGTCAGTGAGTCTAATACATATTGCTGCACATGGCGATGCTGAAAGGGGAGAGAGTATTTTCTCTTCTAATATTCCCCCGAACTTCACTCCACAAGAAATACTTTCTTTTGGCGATGTTTGACATCTCAAGAATTCAGCTGCGCGTGAAACTGGTGGTATTTAGCTGTTGTTGATTAGAGTCGAGGAAGTTATTGGAATCGCCCGAGCGTTCTTAGGATCCGGTGCCCGCTCAGTGTTAGTGACACGGTAGGCCCCGGAGGGCACAATCACAAAGCAGCCCATAACTTGTTTTTACGAACACATGTTCCGCGGTGAAAGTGCCAGTGAATCCTT